TGGCTTTATGGACGTTAGTCTTTAAAGAAGTCAGCTATTAAATCTTGAGTGCAAAATTAATGGACCTACAAGGGCTCCTATTTGTGACCTTGCTGCTTGATGGCAGTGGAGGAGTGAACCCCAGTGAGGTTCAGGAGCAGCAGGAAGGTTTTGTACTTTCCTTAAGATGTGCTGAGGCTAGGAGGATGTTGAAATTAGCATCTCAGACCCAGTCGTCTGGCACACAGTCCCCAGGGCACTTCAGTTGCTCCAGGTGTGTCCCCTGAAATGCAAGGAGAGAACAGTGCAGCGATGGCACCAATTCCAGTCTTTTGGCTATGTGAGACACGAAGCCAAGGCAGACTCCCCAACTCTATTTCATCCTGCTCGAGCAGGAGCTTGCAGTGAAGGAAAGTCACAGAAGCTGAAAATTGAATCTGCAACAAGTCAGCGTGGAAAAGAAATCTGTGTTTACACATTACAAACTAGAACTCTCCTGATCTTAAGTTGTGGGCCCCATTGCCCTCTGGCCCCTTTACGTAAGGCTATATCAGAGGAACTGGCCACCGATAGCTCTCCAGCCTCCCCTATTACAGGGTCGGTGACAGGCTCTGGGACGAGAGAAGGGTGGGTGACAAATATGAAACTGATGAAAGAAATAATTTAGTTAACACAACTCATGATTAATCTGTGGAACTCACTGCTGCAAGAGCATAGTGCGGGCAAGAATTTAGCAGGATTCCCAAAGGACCAGGTAAGCACCATGAAGCCACCCGCAACTATATCTGATAGGATAAATATGTGTATGGCATATAAACCACCTGCTTCAGGGATAAACCAACCACTGCCTGATGCAAGTTTAAAAGAAGCTTCCCCTCTGGGCAGGGGGTTGCATAATTGTCCATCATGGGGGTTTCTTGTATCTTCCCCAGAAGCATCTGGTTGCTCTCAGGGTCTGATTATAAAAGCAGATGGAGCACCACTAGGCTCATCTACTCAGGCAATATGTTGTACATACCATGCCCCTGATCTCTGGGGTGCATGTATTTCTGAGCCTTGGCCCTGATGCTGAGTAGGCTCGGCCACTGGTGCCTAGAGTGGGACCTGTGCTTTATTAGGCTGAGTGTCAGACAACCCACCCTCTCTTGCTCTCTTCCTTTGTCTAGCTGAGGGAAAATACCACTTAATCTTGATTTCAATTTCACAGCTGCTGCTGCCACTGCCGCTGAGGGGAAACAGCTGATCTCCCAGCCTCTAGGCACAGTTCAGAGACATGGATAATCATTCTGGAGTAATTACCAGCTCACTCCCTCAGAGGAATTCACTGATGAGAAGTCACTGGGAGCTAATTACTGTGTATGTGTGTCTCTCTCTTTCTCACATACACACACACACACACACACACACACAACCTCAGTGATCAGAGCAAATGCAGCACTTCCTGCAATAGCTTCGCCCATCCCTCTGTCTTGGGGGAGTGCTCTCCCATCCCTGGATCCCAGGTCCCTACCCCGGTGGAGGGCTGCTCACCTTTCCTACTGGCAACTGCTCTGGATCCAAGATCTACTGGCCTACTAACACTGGTTGCTCCTCATGGACCAAGCTGGTAGAACGAACCCCAGGACTAGTTGCACCAGCCCTCCACCTGAGTTTGCTGATCCTGCACTGATTCAGTCTGTGCCAGGGATGGGGGTGGGGAAGCCAGAGAAGATGTTGCAGCACCAGGGTTAGGGGTGGGATGGGGACAACTGCTGCAGTGCAAGGAGTAGGAGGAGGAAGGCAGGCCTTTTCCTACAACCCCAGCTATCTCCAGGGGTGTCTGCGTCTCAGGCTTGGGCAGCGGGGGGGCAGGAGCAGTACCAGAATAAGTCTCCCCAGGGCTTGGCACCAACAGGAGTCAGATCCTAGGTGGGCAGGCCCTCTCTACCAGTGGGACTTGGGGCAAGGGCTATAGTAGATTGAAACAGGATGTGGGGGAAGGGTTTGCACCCCACCAGCCAAGGAGCAGGGGAGTTGAGGGGGGAATGCTGCTGCCCCACGGCAGAGAGAGGAGGGGGCTTTTAGTACAGGAGTGGGAGGCTGAGTTGGACCTCCACCACCTCTCTTATTTTAACCCCTGACTTAGGGCCCATTTCAGTCCCACTTGTGATACCCTGCTGGGCCTATTGAAGGCAACCCCTCAAGGGTAAGTCCTAACAGGGACCAGGCCAAACTCTCTAGCCACAGGCTTCGTGGGCCCACAGGAACCAGAACCTCAGATTGCCAGGGTTGCCAGCCACTCTTCCATGGGCCTGAGCTTCCTCTCTGCATACACAGAAGGACCCGGTGGCAGAGGGAAGTAGGGGGTACCAGAAAGCATCGGGTTCTCAGGGGAGGAAGGCTTTGCTATTTCCCCACTGTAGACAGGCAGCGTTAAGGCACAGCTTTCCTAGCAAGCAGTGCAGAGAGACTATCGGATAGGCAGGGGCTGCTGAGGAGGGAACTGTGCATTTTAAACACCAGCTGCACTTCCCGTCTCCCTTTATCAGAGCACCACCTGCTGGCTGTGATCCCATTTCACCAGCCAGACCCCACTTTTCTCCAGGGACAGGGAGTGAGCAGATTTATCACCCCATTCACAGTATATTAAATAATTTATTTTTGGGAAAAAAAATCAGCTCTCTGACAGACACTTGCTATGATGAGTTGTGTGTCCCTTTGATTGTGAGCTTGTCAGTGCAAGGACTCTCTCTACCTATGTTTGTACAGTGCTCAGCACACGAGAGGCCTGGAGGCACTAATAATAAATGTACAAGCACCCTCTGGCTCCTCCATTTGGGGTTATTTTTAACAGGCAGTAGCTTCCCTTCCCTTTGTCAGTAGCTGGGATGGGTGCTGCTGCATACCACAGACAGACTGCAGTCCAGTATTGCAGTGTCTCTCTGCCCTGCCACCTCTATGAAACCTATCCATGTGTGACAGCCCCCATGGGTGGGAAACCACCTCTGTTTCAGCCAAAGGTGCAAATACCAGCTCATTTTTTAACATTATTAGAAGGGGAAAGTGGCAGGCTAATTGTATGAGCCTGATGCATCTTCCGTTCAAGTCAATATAGAGACTCCCCCCCGTTCTGAATAGGGACTGGATTGGTTCCTAGGTCACTGGTTTGGATCTGGCCCAGCTCAGCAGTAACCCATAGGTGGTAGTCCTTGCCCTATGCTGTAGGGAGCAACACCCTCTGGTAGTGAGAAGGGCTAGATCATCTTCCCTGTCTCTGCCTTCCATCACCTCTCTGCTAGCTGTTAAGTGAGATGAGCTGGTGGGTGCTCAAAGCACCACAACTTCTCTCCCCCTGGCCAGTTGCAGCAGAGAGGGGAAGGGAGCCTGAAGTCCCATCTTCTCCCTAGAGGTGATGCCGCAGGCTCAGGGCAGATGGTGTATGAAGGAAAGTTGTACAGGTGCTGTCTGCACAGGACCTTGGAGACAGAGAAACTATCATCCTGCTGGGGGCCCCACTGGGGCCAGCTTTCCTCTAGAACAAACAGGAGGGCAACAACCCTCATTAAGGCATTTCAGTCAGACAAGGGGGGTGAGACAAGAGAGACACCACACAGGGCTGGGAGTAGAAGGGTTTTTATTGCTTTAAATTTCTACAGGTCACACATGCACATCCAGCCCTGTCTCAGCGTAGGGCTCTGCTGCTCAGCCATGAGTCACCCTCCCCCTCACTCACAGTTCTTTTTAGATAGTGAAAGCAGAACCCCTCCCTTTCCCCCTCCAGCCCACGGTGCTGTCTCTCTATTCCCTGCAGTGGGCAGCAGGTTGGGGCATCCTACCAGACTCCTGTGAAATAGATGCTCCTGGAGAGCAGGAACATAAAGGCACATGCTCACTGGGATTGCAGAGGGGCACAGGCGTGAGGTCACTTACTACTAGGGCAGAGGACTCAGGGAAGTTATCTTTCTCCAGAGCCTGCAAAGGACTGCAAGACACAGGCTTGAATGGGACAAGGCCAACAGGTCCCTGCTTAGCTGAAGATCTACATGTGATCATTCCCAGAGAGGAAGGGCAGACTGAAGGAAACAAGAACACAATCCACTTGTCAACCAAGGAATGCCAGGAAGTCTTATCTCCTGTGACTAGAGGCAGAACAATGCGTGATCAGGGACGGCACAGAGTCACATGGCCTCTGGAACTAATACAATCACAAAACCCCAGATCATGTCACTGCTGTGCCTGAGCTAAACCGCTCCTCAGCTCCCAGCCCCTGCTCCTAAACCAACAAGGAATACACCAAAGCAGGGAGGCTGCTCCCCAACAGTCAGCGCAGCCTCCAGGGTGCCCCCACCCAAGGCTGGGCTGTTAGGAATTCTTCCTAAGAACACCATGCATGGGACAGTCTCAGCACCACTTGTGGGGGCCTGAGCGAGAATGAGCTTGTTGACCTCTGTGCCAGAGGAGGCTGGGCATCTCTGTGCCAGGCACCATATGGCACACCTCATTCCCAAGAAAATCTTGACGTTAACAAGATCAATTTTGGATTGGACAGTGACCTGGGGCAGGTGAGCCCACAAATCCTGCACACAGCATTTAGAGTGGAGGCCTGCAACTTGTCAGTCCATGAATTTAGGGCATTTACACCCAGGGCACCTACAGGAACATTTCAGAGTCACATATCCCTCCCTCTCCCCCATTCCACCACCCTGTTTCCCAGCCTAAGCACCAGGAGAAGGCAAACTCCATTTTGCCTTTTTCTTTTGGGGCATCCTGGCAGCCCAGAAATAAACCCAAACACAAAGCAGAGCTCTCATTCCACTCCCCCCACCTCCAGGGACTGGCAACATGCAGACCTGGTCCCTGCACCCCGAGACCAGATCTAGCCAAACAGAAGGGAAAACAAAAGGAAAAAAAAAAAAACCAACCCACAAAGAAAGAAAGAGAGAGAGAGAGAGAGAGAGAGAGAGCGAGAGAGAGAGCTGAATCACAGCTCACAAACACTACCCTCCCAACTGGAGAGCA